ACTGTATTGAGGAGCTTACACTCTAAGATGGACACAGAATAGGTTTTCTTTTTAAACCTCTTTTTCTTTGCAGGAGAAGCCTTGGCAAGATAGAGGAGCTGGATCATGATGTTGCATGAATCTATAAAATAAGTTTTAGCGCTCTCTCCCTCCCGCAAACTGAGGGGAAAGGGAATGTTGAACTGAATGTCTCTCTAAGACCCAGCATCCCTCCAAATGTATAATTTTGCAAGCTAAATAAAGGGTGGAAGGCTTGAATCACTCCTCTGCACCAGTGGGGAAAGCTACTGTGGAGGAGAGAAAGTTATGTTTAAAGTCCTCCGCTTCCCAGGGGAGCCATAACTTGTGACTTATGTTCCTAGACACTCTGATCATGCCACTTCCCTTGCCAGAGCACCCAGCTTTTGGGGAAGCGCTGGCTTGCAGGCCCACTGGAAAAGTGGAGGTTGTGAGCACCTATCACTGTTTGAACACCAGCCCCTCCATTCAGTGCTTGTATAGAAGGCAGTGGAATCTGTGTTTGAACCTGGTCCTAAAATACCAAATTCATCAACAATCCTTGATAAAAATCCAGATTCCGCCAGCTTCCCCCTCCCCCCCCAGTAATGTAGGAACGAGCAACAACTTCCCATTTTACTGTGTTTGTTAATCCTGTTAGTGGAAGGCTGTGAGTTCAGGTGTGGCAGCTTGAAACATGGCATTTCTTTTAGCAGATGGAAAGATAAAACCGGATGGGGGAAAGGAGAGGAGAGGAATTAAAAAAAAATCAGCTGTCTCCGCTCCAATCAGGTTTCCAAAAGCGGAGATACAGCTGAGAGGTACATGGTACTGTTGTGAGAGTGGTTACTTACTAATGGCCTAAAAAGTCTATCACCATGGTAAACAATTTTCTGTTGACCCTTACACTCTGTGTGACTGCACCTATGCTTTGAGATCCTGCAGGAGGGAAGGTGCTATCCATATGTACAACAGTGGGCTAAATTTTCTGCTGGTGTATATGGGTGCAGCTCAGTTGAACTCAAGGGAATTGCACTAGCAGAGAATTTGGCCCAGTGTTACTGTAGAATAATAAAATAAATGTTTAGTTTATTGTATTACAAGTTATGTAAATAGAGTTGGGCAATCAGAATTGGAAGGGGAAAGAACTGGGAAGTTGATGGGGAAGGAGATGAGCAGAAAGCACAGGAGATAAAAAAAGGATTGAGAACAGGAGAAGGGAGATAAGAAGAGCAAGTGTTTTGCAAACGAGAGAGAAAATTAGAGGAAATTGGAGTGAAGAAAGGAGTTCTGAAGAAAAAGATACTTTTTCTACATTCCACTTTGTAAGATAGAAAGGAAGATATAAAAAAAGAGGACTGAAGGGAATAGGGGATGAATTTATTTTGAAACACATTGCCACTTGGCAAAACAACTCATTGTCATTACTAACTCAAGAGGCTGGCCAGCACTGTCAATTTACAAAGAACCCCATCTAATGTTATGTGATTAGCTCAGGTGAGCCCCTGTTCTACACTGTATAGAGAGTTTACTTTGCTGTATGTAATAACCTCTTACTATATTGTAGCATGTATGCATCGGTTGTTCCTGTCTCTTCAGACTCCTATGCTCATCTGCCTCTGATTTCAGGTACATGAAAGAAATCGAGAAGCTGATGAGAAGGGAACAAAGCTGAAAATTTTATGCTTCTGAGGTAATGAAAATAAAAATAACATAGAATATCCCAGTGAATCCTACATGATAGCAGAATAATGATGACATTTGCCAAGAGATTGCCCACATTTTCTCCAGTTTTAGTAAAGAAATGGGAAATAATTGCCCTCACCACTTTCTTGAGACCCTGTCTATGACAAACAAATGGTGACTATCTAAAAATGGGTGACAGTGATCACTGTAAAGCAGAAACAAAGACTGGCTCCGGGGGAACAGCAACTAGATATATGGTAGGTAAAACACTTTGCTGCCCATTGCAAAACCAAACCAAAGAAAAGCAATTCTCCATCAACCTTAACATGTTACACTATTCTAGATGAGAGGATAGTTTTAACTGAACTTTAATGCCTTTAATACAAGTGAGTCTAAAATTATAGATTACATTTTATGGGCCTACTTCTTATTTACTTCTGCCCTTGTACATTGCTTTGGAAGTGTAAAGGGGCCTTAAAGTAGGAATAAATTAAACCCAGTTTAAGGCCCATTTGCACTACCAGAGTAGGGTAAAGGGGCTTTAATGCAAATGAGAATAAGGCCCTATATCCCAAATGCAGTAAGGGGCAATTGACCAATAGCTGAGTGTCAGCACATCATTGTTAGTATGTTTGCTGACGAGTGTCTTTAAGCAACACTGTAGTCTTATGAAAACTTTGATTCAGTTTTTGCTCTTTTCTACTGTGTCCTCTATAACTCACCACCATCCATCCTTGCTTTATTCTGTCTTACACTTCATAGGACTTTATCTTCCATGCAGTGGTTGTCAAACCTAAAATTCACTAGAGGCATTTTTTAGAGACCCTATTATGCCTAGAAGTGTCATTGCTAAGGTCCTATTCCTGCAATTTGAGTCACACATGCTTTTGACAAGAAATAAAGGCAGATCATTCCCCCTCCCTCTGCCTCCCGATGGTAGAAGGGCATGAAAATCTTGCAGATACACGATCAGGGATACAGAAGGAGAAAGTATACCTCCTTCCTCCCGATTCAGTGGTCCTCCTCTGTCAAACTGAGGATTTCTGTATAGAGAATGCTGGATCAGGGCAGAGCTAAGGGGTAAGCATATTTATCCTCTAAGCCATATGAAGATACAAATTACTGAAATAGACTAAATTAGGTTAAATTTTTGAGCCAATCCCACTGCCTGATGTAAACCCCATCAACACTCCCGATACTGAAGTGGAGTTCCAGGGGTAGCAGCAGCAGCAGCTGGCAGAAGAATCTTCAGTAGCATTGTCCCATTGACCGTAACATTGAATGTGATCGCCCAGCAGGCCCCAGTGGTAATCCCAGGACACCTGGCCAGTGTTCAGACAACCCTGTCCTTCAGCAAATCTCAGTAGACGTGTGGTCTCTCAGTGGATCTGAGACCCTTGCTCTCAAGAGAATGGACATCACCTTCCCTACAACTGATGAACAGAGTGTAAACTGCAAGGGGAACTTCACAGATTAAGGCCAGCAGGAACCGTTATGATCATTTAACCAAGTGGATCCTGTATCAAGCCTGTAACTTCTGTCTGAGATAGAGCATATATTTAGAAAACATCTAATCTGCATTTAACAACTTCAAGTAATGGAGAAGGACTGTAAAAATTTGCAGCTTAATTCTAGTCTGAATTTGTCTAGCTTCAGCTTCCACTCACTGGATCTTATGTTTGTCTGAGAGATTAAAGATCCTTCTATTATCAGAAATCTTCACCTCATGTAAGTATTTCTAGACCACGAACAAGTCACCTCTTAATCTTTTTTTAAGATCAATAGAGTGAGCTTCTTTATCTCATTGTAAACTTGGTTTTCCAGACCTTGAGTAGTTCTAGTCACATTTTTCTGAGTGCTTTCCAATTTGTCAACATCTTGTGTCCACAGAGGAACAGGACACCATATTCCAGTAATGGTCTCACTCGTGCCATATACAGTGGTAACAATACCCTCATACTTCTACTTATTATTCCCCTTCTTATAAATCCAAGGACCACATTTACTGTCTTACCCTCTGTATTACACTGTGAGCTCACAGAAATCTAGTGCCCTATACTGACTTTTTTCCCTGAAAAGCGGATGATTTGAGCCAAAATTCACATTGATTATAACTACATATCTCCATTGGATATTTTAAAATGTATAGTAGTCAATCAAAGAACATACCAGTTTTAAACTATAATATATATTAGATTTTTGTCCAGATGCAAATCCTAGCAACAATGATTACCATGCAACCACACTAGGGTTTTTTTAATGTAAAATGTTTGCTTAGACTGATAAATAGATTTAACACATGAAAGGCTAGTTCAGATAATTACGTAGATGATTTTTAAAAAAAAAACAAAAGATCAGAGAGAATAATTCTGCCTTTCTCATTATAATAATGTTAATCTGTGGCTTCATTGTATCATATTAAGCTGTATTAGTTACATAATGATGTTGAACTCTCAGTTAACTGATCTGTGGGTGGCTTAATGAGTCAGATTTCTATCAGGGAAACATTGAATTAAAACATGATTGATGACCATTGCAATATTATCAAAAAGATACTGAGACAGTCCTATAATTTTGTCTGTGACTGCTGAAATTTAGCAACTTCCTTTTACTGTACAATATATGAATCCCCTTAACCAGTTAATACTAGAAGACAAGATTTCCTACAAAGACAAATACTGCCAACATCATCAGGTTGGATACTACTTTCAATAAAAAAATTATTTCTACTTTCCCTATTTTGTCTCATTTTGTTCCTACAGAAGATGAGTATCTTTAGTCCCATAAAGATGAAGTGCTTGTCCATGGGCCTACCGTCTCAAGATGGATGCATTTGTGGTTACTACATTTGGACTTGAGGGCTTTTGGAAGTTCAATCTTAGATGAAGATTATCTCTAAGCCAGCAAACTCCTAAATTCAACCATCACCCAGATCTGATCTCATAATCCCTCTCTTTGCTTCCACTTGTACTTCAAGATTCAAGGTTCACTTTACGTGTACACATGCTATGTGAATTATGAAAAACAGTTCAGCCATCAAACCCAATATGCACAGTGTGGTCCAAGATCTAGCCCTAAGTAGATCCAATACAAAATCACTTTTTAAGAAATCACTAGGTAGCAAAGACTTTCTTCAGTTTCCATGTGTTTTTCTAAAACAAGAAATATACAAAATCAAATATGATGTGACAATCTATGCTACATTTTTCTTTCCTTTGTCCAGACATACTAGTATTTGCAGCTTCATTCAAAAGGCATAAATCCAAGTTAGTATTTGTGTCAACCAAATCAGTAACATATCCATAATTGCTACTTACAATTCTGTGTTAAAAAGTGATTTGACAGTCTGCTTGTATTTGCGGTATTGCTCCCATTCAGCTTTGGCATGGTCTGTTACTAACTCTTCTACAGGCACTTGAGGTATGCCTAGCTTCTCAGCAAACTGGTTAGCACCCGTTCCAGTGAGCATCACATAAGGTGTCTAAAAAAAAAATCAGAGAGAGAAACAGAATAGTAAAAATAATCTTCAATGCTATCAACCGCATGATACATTAAAAATTATTATATTTAAAGTCTCTATTCCTTTAGCACCCAGAGGCCCTAATTAGAATCACAGTCCCATTCTCATAGGCATTCTGTAAACACATTTGAAGAAACAGACCACTGTGCAAAGAATTTTTGGTCTAATCAATATACTGTAGGTTTAAAAGATTCTTAGGCTGATGTATTGCAAGCTGCCTCAGGAATTTGGACTTCCAAGTTCCACTGGAATTAATGGGAACGGTGCACGTAAATTTCTTAGTCAGTATTGAAAATCTCAGCCTTAAGGTTTGAAGTACAGTCTAATTTGTCTTGGGGCCTACAAGAAGGCAAATTTTAGTCACCCACTTAATTTCCTCTGTGACAATTATGCATGATACCAAAAAAAAAGAAAATGATTTTGGTTCACTTCTCTTTATTTCTCCCCTTTCTCATTTAAATCTCACTGTCTAATTTTTCCCATTTCTTTCCTTTAAATTCTTTTCTTTGCCTTCATTTTTTTCTTTTTTTCTTTCTTCTCTCACTATTTTCTTTCTTCTCTTCCTTAAGTTCAGGGTCAGCAGATGAATATCATGGTATTAATAACTACTCTCATTATTAAATTGTGCTTTACTTGCAGCACTTCTGAGAACAAAAGATACCACATTCCTATTCTGTGGTTGTATACAATGTTTCTCCACAGAGTACAATAGAAAGCAGTTAAAAAACCCTTTTTAAAATATGGAAGGAAATCCTGTTCTCTACTCAATGGCCTTCTGCAGAACTGGTGTTATTCTACTCATCTGCACAGGGGTAATGGAGCAGGATGTGGGGACCCTGCACAGAGGGTCCACATACCAAGTCCACTATAAATCCAATCTCTGTGGTGACTCTCTGCATGTCCTATAGATCAGGGACATGAGCAACAGGATCGGAAAGATACATTCTTACTAATTAGACTGTAGTAATGCCCAGAATACACTAAGCATTTTCCAAACACAAAGGAAAGATAGGTTTGACATGGTCCCTGTGGGGCAAGCAGCAGCCACTACAGTCATGGGGCTACAGCAGTAGCCACAGAGTGACTCTTCTTTTACTCTCTACCCTGAGGGAAAAGGGAGGATTTGAGCCTGAGGCAGGAGCAGGAAAGATCTGGACCATTATTTGAGTGAGTTAGGTCAGTTAGGTCCAGGCGCGCCCTGTCTCCCCAAATGGAGGAGTCACATTCTGCCCACGTACTTATATAAAGGATGGTGATGCTTGTCCTAGCCACAAGTGTTGAAGAATTAGAATTAGTGTAATTAAAATTCCTTTTGGTTGGAAATATGAAAGAAGAACATTTTTCAACAGTATCAGTTTTACTTGTTTCTCAAATCATCCCATGAAAAAAATATTTCAACTGAAGAAATACTTTGCAGGCAATGTGCTGGCTTAGATAGGAAAATGAAGTCTGTAAATATAAAAATAAGTAAACAAAAACTATCAATGTATTGTGTGGATGTAAAACTAAATTTTGGTGAATATAGATGTTCACTTTACTCCAGCACTAGAGGACAAGTCTTATTTAACTTCAAAAGAGTGAAGGTAAAAAGAACCCTGCACTTTGAAAATTCTGTATTATTTATCAGTCTAAAGATACTTTTTCTGACTGGCTTCTGCCCCATATAATAATCCTGTAACAACCTAGTCACATTTTGTAAAACTGTATTGGAGGAACACTAACATATCATTATGATAAAGCCCCAAATGTCATTCTTAACACAAATGGATTAGGGATTTGATATGTAGCACCACAGCCCCAGCGTGCTAACCAATGAGCATGACAGAGAAGTGATAAATGACCTCAGCCTACCTATTATGCAACACAATCCATAACCTCTGAGTCAAATCTGTGGTTAAACTTGTAACTGTACTACTATACATGAATTTTCTCAGTCAAACAACTTCCCATGAGAGTATGCATCAGATTTAATACAAGTTGCTGAACTTATTTATCAAGTTCCTCAGTCTAATATTTATCTATAACACTTTTGTTGATATAGGTTTGAAGGTACTATGGATTTTTTTATAGTCTGCTTTAAATAATACAAGCTCATATTTCTTGGAACTACCCTTGAACATTCCTTGTACTAAAATAATATGTAAAAATAAAATGCAGTTCATATTATCAAATACTCCTAAGATTCACGTGCAGTACAATGGAAACATTTTGTTATTTGGAATTAACTGGAACATTTTACAATATATTTATGCTCACAGAAAAAGCAATGCAAAGTCTGAAATGCTTATAGGATCTGATTCAAATCCCATTCAAATAAATTGGGGTCTTTCAACTGACCAATGATTTTTTGATTAGGTTTATACTGAATCATAGATGACAGATGGAAAAGACCTCCTAGATCATCCAGTCCATCTCCCTAGCAATACAGAATAATACTTATTGTATATTTTCCAGTGTTTTATTCAAAGTGCTAAGGCTTCTGTTGGCGCAGAGAATACTGTACAGCCTGCATCTCATTGGCAGAAAGATTTTCCATTATTATTATTAATTTGCCTGACTGTAGCACATAGGAAGGAGAATCACTCACAGAATAAAAAGACAGTCCCTGCCCCAAAGAGTTTACAACTGAAGTACAGGAATAAAAAAAAACCACTACAGTGGGTTATAGGCCCACTCTTTCTTTTTTTGTGCACCCTAACAGTCTCACTGAATTAAACATGACATTTAGGTGCACAAGGAATTCAGGCTCAGGCCCTACAACAATATTACGATACATCTAGGAAGCAAAACTGTATACATATGTAATATGAAAATTGTACTTGTTATGCATTTTTAAAGCTTATATTTTATCAGTATTACAAATAAACTAATATGCTAAAATCACTAGCATAATTACTTTCATACACTATTATCATCAATAAAAATAATATACTTTGATACTAACACAATTAGAACAAAGTTCATGAATAAAAAATTTGGTAATGCAATAAATAGAGCTTCTGGGAAATGCTGATATTGCTTCACATGGTTTATAGCTTTACTATATGTTTCAGGAACTATTTTAATTTCTCTCCTGGGGCAGAAGTAGAATGGCAATGAGAAGAGTAACACAACAGTCTTGTTATTCTGGATGTTCATGCTGCATCACCAAGTTGAATCCATTTTAAAGAGATGCTCTATTACTGTTTGAGGAATTTGTATTGCTCTAAACACAGTGGATTCTGTTAATACTTCAAACACAAATTATAACATTTCAGGCAAATTTTATATACTCACATTTCGTAGTACTGGAATGTTTATTTGATGTCACAGGGTTTGTTTTAGCCATGGTTTGATTTTTCAAATATATGCTGATACTATATTCCAATACAATGCAGCCAATCCCATCTGACATTAATTATTAGGCAGTGAGTTTGTGCCTAGAAAACGCAAGGCGTATTGGTTTTGCAGGTAAGTGTTTGCAGATGTCCTATATCATGTGCTGCCCAGGCAGAGTGTGATAGGGTGTCTTCTCTTTGCATACTCCTTTCACTGCCTATCACAGAATAACTAGGGCATATGAAGGGCAGTGAGTGAAGATAATTGGGGTAAAATCTGCATAATTCATAGCCTTGTCATGTTAAATACTCTACAGCAGCTATTTTCCACTAACACCTGCTTCACTGTAGGAGCATCAGCAATATGTATCACATGAACAATTAGGGAAGGGACACTCTGATTGTACAGTGCCAATGAGGACACAAATGGAGGATGGTAGAACAATACCACAGTTAGCTATGGAAAGGGACATGGGCACAACCAATCAGGACATATATCCAACAGCAGTCCTAAGAAAGGAACTATTCTGCCAATAGCTAACTTATTGATAATTTGATGAGCATTATGGCAACATGAGAGTTTCAGAAACAGCCTGATACATTATAAGCAATAGATCTCTATAAAAGCCACAAAATTAAGGGATGATACACCCCCACCCCCCAGACTGAGGTTTAATGGCAGCAGAGCAAAGTGAGATGTGTCCCTATGAAGCTCACAGAAAAGCACAAGAATGGGACTAACTATGCCAAGACTCTCTGCTATACAACATAGCTATCAGCTACAAGAGGTTAGTCATTTGTAGGCTCTTTTAATAACCTATGGCTATGGACAGTGATTGTCCAAAGCCTTGATCTGTATGGGCTTTTGCTGGTATTACCACAACTGTGCACTGGCTCTCAGTGGTGCATAGCTAGGATCTGATCCTCAGTAAATCAGAGAAATCCCTTATGTAAATAAAAAAAAAGAGGAATGTGTATGTGAGAGGAAGATTTTCACTATCTTTCCCCCCATTTCTCTTTTCCTTTAGCACAGTGGCTATAGGGATTTCTCCTTTTTAAATATGAGTTTGTCTTTGCATCTGAAGCCTGAAGTCCTTCCCCGACCTACCTCCCCGGCCAACAAGTTCAATCACTTCTCCACATTTCCTTTTCTCATTTCCTACTTTGAAATACTGCCACAAGCTAAATTACTGTTACAGAACAGAAGGAAGAAATGGGTTGTGGAGAGAAAGGGAAAGAGATAGTAGAAACAGCAGGCAGAAGAAACAGGCCTGATGAGATTACAATCTTTGGATGCCATTGTAGCTGCAGCCTATAATAGTTTAAAAAGAGGAGAATCCATATAGCCAGGAAGTTGGTTTATGTAAGAGTCCCACAGACACGAACAATGCTTTGTCCTGATAGTGGGACTCAAACATCATTCATGGTGGTGAAAGGCTAACCTAAGCAATTTACTATTTGCTAATTTGGTTCTTTCTATGGTACATGCACTCCTGCCACCAGGCAGATTCAAAATTGCAGAGGCAACACTATGAACACTTTGAACCAGCTGCTATAACATGTTGGGAGCTCAATACGCAGAGCAGCTGATTAGTTCTTTATCCAGTTAATCCACATGAGAACACACATGTTACATCCAGGACA